TCAGGACAAACTAAAAGCCCTTAAGTGTCAATTATAAGAGATTTCAAAATATTGTTGGCTGAGTTGTGTGTAACGTTATGGAGGGTGGAAAGATGGGTTAATGTTTGCACTGAATATGTAAATGAAATGACTTTCCCATAGCTTTATCGGAAGCATGAACAGGACTGACTGGATTTGGATGGACTTTATCTACAATTCGAAGATTCAGGAGAAAACTCTTGAAAATYGAGTCGCTAATAATACTCTTTTCCACATCTTGCCCTTACTGCCTTGTGAATAGGTTTCAGCTCCATTAAGAATGTGCTGTCACTCATTTTGAAGTAGTTCAGTTCTAAGTCTGGGATGAACCACTGTGTTATGAAGGAAGAATAATTTGTGGGAGCACAAGTGCCATCCAAAAGCGACTAGAAAGATTTATTGACAATTTGACACCAGGCTTACTTGATCATGGACMTCATAATTGCATTTTATCATTACTTCTTGCATTTGAGATGAAGAACAGCAACCAAAAAGACCTGTAGTTCATATGTTTAAGCTTCCTGCAGGTTCTCATGGTGTTCCTCTGTTTTGTTTTGTGTGTTTTCTTTTCCCCTTGCCTCCCCTTCCCCATCATGTGAATACAGTATCTCTCGACGTTGAGGTCATGAATGTTTGGGGACTGTGATTTAAAGGTGACCAAGGCTGAAAATCACTGCATGGGAGCGCAAAACCTGCGAGAAAGGCACCAGCCTTTACCCTTAGTCTTCTGTCTTTGCAACGTGCAGTTGGCAGACGTCTGTCCCTCCGTCCTCGTGAGACCCTCATATGAAGGTTTTTAGAGCAGCCAGCATGGTATTTTCTTAATGCAAACAAGAAATTTTCATACATTTATTTTCAAAGCTGCCTGGAAGTTCTGCATGTGTTAAACATTTGTTACGTACTAGGTCAAGGCATCCTGTTGTTCTGGGAAGAACCAAGTAATTTCTACATCATAGAAAATTAATAATAATAATAAAGCCTGCAGAATGCACCTCAGATGGTTTGAGGGGATACTGCCCACTCATTTTCCCCAATATCATCATTTTCAGGAAATTATGGAATTGATCTGACCTTGTTTAACCAGGAACTTAAAAGAGAACAATATTAGGCTRTTACTGGAAGCTCATGATCTTATCCTCATTGTTCCACTTGTCCTCATGAGTTTATGGTGTATAAATACAGTTTGTTATGATTTATTAGTAAGAGGAAACAGGAGGAAATGATTAGAAACTGCCCCCATTAATAAGCAGTACTTAAATATAAATAGTCCTTTTTTTTTTTTTTTTTTTTTTTTTTTTTTTGTTGCTGGTTATTTATTCCTGCATCCATTTTTCATCTTGCTTTTAGTTGTGGGGTTTTTTTTCTGCTGAATTACAGCAACTAGTGGTTATTTAAGGCCCTGCCATTGTTTCCATTTTATAGAGAACATATTTTAAAGCGACATTTGTAACAATACCCATCTTAATTCTGCTTTGCTGGAAGCGCTTATACAAGCTGATAGCCTAGATATAAATTATTTATTTGAAATCGCCGTGGCTATGCACTTTATTTTAAAAAATAGCAAACTGAACACAAAATTATTTGTGYGTGTATGTGTTTTTCTTCACTTAGATGCTGTGCCACAGTAGTTTAAAGAAGATTTTACTCTAAAAGATGATTTTTTTCCTCTCTGTTTTGGCCGTCAGCCCACTAGAACTGGCCCTTCAGCAACTCTGTGTTTGGAGAGAGAGATGAGATAAGCTAGGGAGTGAGATGTCAGGCTGTGCGCRTGCTCCAGCGTGCGCTATCCACGASATAATGCATGTATTTATATATACATATTTGAGAGCAGTCTCGGGTTATCTGATATTCTGTCTATAGAAACTGGAGCAATTTGCCATCTGAGTTATCCCTGAAGGTGGATTTTTTACAGCATCTGCTCTGTGGTGATGATGCTGAGGGGGAATTAACATCTGGACCACCTCTGTGTTGCCTAAACGTTATTGCTACGTCTTWGTTCCTCTATGGCAAGCTTGGGTACAAGTCCCTTTGCATTTGATATTTCTGCTGTATCATGTAGGGTTATAAAAGATGCAGCGTGACTTCAGTTTCTTCTATAGTTATCTAACCAATGCAGGGTGATCATATTGGCAGCAGACTAAATAAATATCCTCTTCAAAAAGCAATCTCTAAGATGTTTTAACAATTGAAATTGCAGCTGAATGTTGAAAGGCAAGATGCTGTTTAAGATACTATTTTTATATAAATCTGTGTGTGTATGTGCATGTGTAACTTGTTTTACACAGAGACGTGATAAAACACAGATTTGATATTCCTTGTTCAAGAAGGAATAAAAATGAGATTTCAAATGTGTTTGGACTAGAGCTTTTTGTCAGTTGATAAGACCCAATTGCAAGATTTGGATCACTAGGAAAAGAATTTAATTAAGCTTTTGTTTTGGGTGTGGAAAGGAAAAAAAGGATTARGAAAACATGCGAGCCACAGTCTTAAGCTTTTAACCAAAGCAAAAAAAAAAATCTCTCATTGGAGCCAACAGCAGTTTCTCTTGGGTGAGGAGCGTATGCTATTGTATGTGATGTTTTGGCATTATTCATAGACTCTACTTTGCCTTTACGTGTATATACAGGAATTTATATATTTAGGAAAGGATTATGGGAAGAAATTATATATTTAAAAGAAGGAAATCATATATTTTTAAAAAAACACTAGTAATAATATGGTCATTCATTGTTTTGGAAAGGGAGGTGAACTTTCATATGCTTGTTTTTCTGAAAAGCCTGCCTGTGGTGCAGGTACCTCCCTCTGTATTCACCAGCCTTGAAGTGCAGGGCTACAGGAGGAAGGTGCAGGTGTGAGCACAATGATCACCTGTACACTGCCCTAATCCAGGACCCACCATTTCCCTAAGTGCCCCCACAAGAGAGAGAGCCATCCGCACAACTCCGGTGCTGAGGATTTTGTAGCGGCAGCGGCACCATCTCGAGAGAGAGAAGATGGTAAAATCGTTCCCTCTCCTTGCTGACCATCCTTCCCTCTCCTTGCTCGCCAGCATTAGCGTTTGGTCCTGTCCTGTGGAGCTCTCTCTTCTGTACTGCCTCTTCTCCCCCACATTGTGTTTCAATAGTTTCAATAACTAGATTCACAGGAAATATTTTCCCCCCTTAATTTCTCCTTGAGCTAAAAGCTAGTTTTTGCAAAATGTAACTTCAGTTTTGTCACAGACATCTATTGATGTCTAGGTATATCTACTCACCTCTAGATAGCTATACAGATAGCTATCTAGATAGCTATACTATAGGTGGATAGTTCTGTATATCAACAGTAGCTTCTCTGTYAAGCAGTAACGTTCCCATCAGGAACATCCTGAGCATTGCAGTGTTCACCCATGTAGCAGAACCACAGATACAACGGAAAAGATTTTCCCGAGCCAGAAGATTTTGCAGCCGCTCTGTGGAAATGCTGCTTGTCCCATCTTATCTGGATGAAGGAGGTCAGGAGCCATCCCAGGTCAGCTTCCAACCCCATTCCCAGGCTTGGACGTGGTCTCAGCAGTGTCATTATGCCCTGGGAATTGGTCCTGGCATGTTGTGTGGCTGTGTATCTTAACTAGAGGAATACACTAGCTTTAAAAGAAGGTGGCCTGCTTTGAATTTGTCATCTCCATCGCTGCTGTCAGGCTCACGTGGTGCTTAACTCCTCTGTTGCACTGTAAATGTTCCTGATGAAGCCAATAAGCGTTTCCAAATATTATTCATTGTGGTTAAAAGCCATATGACAGGAGACAACAGGTTTGGCACTAAGRGATGTTTTCACGTTTTTGAGGGAATATTTTTGCCCATGTGGGTTTCCTGCTTTTGCCCACACCTGCCGCATGCACACAGTGGTCTTGCAAACAGGAATTGCACGTGTGAATGCACGTTGCACGCTCCTGTCCCATTGCCTCATATGCATCAGTGCAGGTTAACTGCGGTTGTCGTTTTGCCAGTGGTAAACTGAGTATTTGCAGCTTTGGCCTTGAGGGCGCTCTGGGGAATTACGTGTGACAGGCTGGCGCTGGTTCTGCCTTCCAGCTCTCAATTCTATTAAGAGCCCAACATAAACACTTGACTCTGCTTTATTTCAGAGGGTAATGCTTCAAAATTACAGAGCTCGTTGCTATTAATTCTTTTGTTGTTTATTGATTGCATTAACATTAATCATGATAAATAGGTTTGGTGTTACTGCAGATGTCACTTGTAGAGTGCTCCAGGATGTCTGCTCTAAACTCTGTCTTCATTACCTGGACTGTTAGTTACAGGGCATTTTTTTTTCTAATAAACATTTCCATGTCCCTCATACAGAAATTAGGAGAAAAAAATGTGTTGGAAATTGATCACAAGAGTTTTTTGAAAGTATCTTGCTGTTCTTGAGACTTGCCTTTTTTCCTCTGTGAAAAAGATGGGTTACATAAGCTTGTTGCATATATCTCTGTTGCATATAAACCCAAAAGCAATTCAGCTTTTGCTTGGACAAGTTGACGTGCATAATCAGATGCAGTTGTCCTCAGAAGTTGACAGCAAGCCCGAGCTGCTGTTTCTTCAGGTTTCCTCTGTATAATGCAAAGAAGCAATTCAGGGCGCTGGTGTGCTAGAAGCGGATGAGCGCTCATCTACTCAGAAAGTCACGATAACTCAGTGCTAGGAAGACAGTTTTGCTCTTCCTGAGGACCCTCCCAAGGCCCAGGGGTAGGATCCGTTTTCAGGACGTATCTCATTGCTGAGCCAGTTGGCAGGGGCAGCCTGCAGCCCTCACTGCTCAAGACAGCTCGAAACGAGCAGCAAAGCCCTCTGACTCGTGTGAACTTGTGTCTGTATGACTGTGCAAAACGTTACCCGCGTTTCCCTTGATGGGAACTGCTGCGTGTCGATTCCCGGGGTCTGGGTTGGCACAGAAACCCCCCGAGCAGCCCGTGTCATCTCGACTCTCGCTGTGCTTCCTTGCAGCCTGCGACCTCATGAACCAGGGCATCCTGGCCCTCGTCAGCTCCATCGGCTGCACGTCGGCCGGCTCGCTGCAGTCGCTGGCGGACGCCATGCACATCCCTCACCTCTTCATCCAGCGCGCGCCGGCGGGCACGCCGCGCAGCGGCTGCGGCCTCACGCGCAGCAGCCGCAACGACGACTACACGCTCGCCGTGCGGCCCCCCGTCTACCTCAACGACGTCATCTTGCGGGTGGTCACCGAGTACGCCTGGCAGAAGTTCATCGTCTTCTACGACGTCGAGTACGGTGAGTGCTTGTCGAGCTCCTGGCAAGTCCGTGACTCTGCTGGAAGAGGCTGCGTTAAACTGCYGGAGTCTCCCCCTCGGGGACGTTTTGGCCCGTGCGTGTTGGTGACTTGAAGTCACCGCAGAAAAATCTGTTTCTAAAATCCATTAACTTCTAGTCTGATAATTTCTTTACCCAAGTTAGATAATAAATATGGCTCTTATCTGTCTTTCTCTTTCATTGTTGTTTATGAAGCATGTCATTTACGTTTCATAAACATGTTTCATGTTCTGTTTCATGTTGTTTACGAAACATCAACACCTTTTTTGTTGGAGTCTTGAGAAGGTATATAAGGTGACATTTCCAGAGACAACGTATAAGGTGTTACCTTTGTAGACTTTTTTGTGTGTGTGATGAAGCTGTACGTCCTGCTGATGGCAAGAAGTTGGGAGCAGCAGTGAAGGTAGGAATGAGAGATGCCTCAGCAAAATTGAGCTGGTATTTTTAAATGGAAGGTTTCTAGGCAGAACTTCTGTTTGAGGATGGGGGGAAAAAAAGTTCCTTTCCTTTTTCTTTTTGGTGTGTTTATTGTTCCTGAAAGGTGCTGATTTGACAGTCCTTATGTAATAGAGTAAGTGTAACACGGGTGGCACTGCAAATTAGACTGTGCCATCTAAGTTGGCGACTCACGTTCTGTAAAGAGAACTTCTAAAGCTGCGTAGACACGTTGCTCTAGCAGTGACACGTTATCTAACTAATTTTATTGCTTTTTTTCTATGGGAAATTGCTTTGAAACCAGACCGGTTTTCTTCGGATGCATCCATTATTCATATGTAATCACGGCTGGTTTCGATGAGCGTTTTCAAACTTACTTTCAAAGTTAGATTTTTGAGTTGTTGAAAACGCTCACTTCAGCGATTTCCCCTGCATAATAGCTGGCTCATTCAGGTCAGGTGTATTGATTTCTTTTTTTTATTTTTTTTTTTCTTTTCCCTCTTGGCTACATAATAAATGCTTAAATTAGAAAGATAGAAAATGATGAGTAAGAGAATTTCTATTTATAATAAAGTGGTACTGAAAGGCACCAGCAATAGAATGAGGAGCATACCTTGCAGAAACAAAGACATAGCTACATGTCTCTCTGTATGTACATATATCTACATATATACATATATAGAGTGATAAAAAGCATACCATCTCCTATCCAGAAATCTTGGAACAGAGTATTATTGTTTGTGCTTTATGAGTTTATACATCTATTGACAGTCGTACAGCATACCTATGAAGAAGATAATCCTACGAGATAAAACATAGCTTTCCGCACGTATAGTTGAGTATATAAAAAACTTGAGCAAACTTTGTGATTAATGAACAGTTCTGAATAATTGTATTCACAAATACTGCATTTTTTTATTACTCAGTTTGCATTGTTTAACTTGAGAATGTAGTTCAGGCCCCATGGCCTTTTGTCCTTGCTTTCTGGGTAAGAATTTCATGACGGCACAAGTGGCTTAGTGTAAGTTCCTGTCTGGAAGGAATAAGCTTTGGGACCAGTAGTTCATTCCGTGATCACAGAATGTCACGTTAGATGCCTGTAAGTCTCTGCACTGCCTCCTAAGCTGCTGTGACCTGGGTAGGCTCTCGATAAAGCCACACTGAACTGGACAAGTTGAAAATCTGACATTGATGAGGGATCCCAACCAGATGTACCAGAGCAAGGCGCAAACGCTTCTGCATTGAGCGCTTCCAGCCTGGCCCCTTTCTGAACCATCTCGGGCTTTTTGTAGTTTGATGTTTACACCACAAATAAAAAGGTTCTAGATACACTGTCAGCTTCACATTAACTCTGGCCAGTGTTAGCACCCCTACAGCAATTTYGTCATCTTGAAATCATGCAAAGTCCTTCACTTTGCCAGCTGTCCTGCAGCAGCAAGCAGCTTGTATATTTTAGGCTTCTTGCATTTTCTTTATGAATTTCAAGTCACTGGTTTTACTGAATGTCTATCTCCTCCTATTTTGGTAGAGAAAAGGAGAGCAGATGTTTCAGATCACCATCCCCAGCCCAAGGCCCCTCTCATTATTTTCATTATTTAGGGTGTTCTTTTCWGTCTCTGCAATCACGCTCTCTCATGCTGGGATGCCTCTCTAATTCCTCACTACCCCGTTTCAGGTGAAATCATTAGGCCTGACACAGTATTTTGCCTCTTCTTAATTCTCTTAGCCAGCTTTTGATGTATGGCAGTAGTTTTCTTCTTACCCATGATGACATTATTTTCTTAGCAGTCCCTAGTGAGCAATCTTGCCGGGAGCTTTTTATAAATCTTAACAAGTTATGTCACTTTCTCCCTTTTCCTGCTACTTTATTGATATACTCAATGCATTCCCAGTACGTTAGCAGGGCACAGGTTTTCTTCCCACGTTCTGTGTTGAGCAAACAGGCACTCGTGCAAAGGGAAAGATAGAGAAAGCAAGGACATGAAATCAGGGGCTGGGATCAAATGTGGATGGAGTGGACAAGGCTGGATTGAGCCTTGACCTTGCTTGCAACAGGAGGTTGGACTATGTGACCTCCTGAGACCTTTTCTAACCTGAACTATGTGAGGTTTGAGGGAATCATCCTTGTAGATGAGTCTGTGGACTAGGAGTCTACAGAGAGTTTGCTCAACAGCATCAAGAGAGGTTGGGCAAGGTGGGGAAGGGAACATTAGGGTCTCGGGATGAGTTTTTATGCCTCTCTTGGAAAGAAATCAATAATTGGATGTACAGACGCAACAGCAGGTCTCAAAGGAACTGGTCAAACTCATTGCAACTAGGGATGGCTGCAGGAAGCCACCAGTGTCACCCCTGAACTTCCCTGGGAGGATCTGCCCCAAGGTTTGCTCCATTTCTACCCTTAGCTCATCCAGACCTGCAATCAAAATCTGTTTGGAAGCTTTGCTCAGTTTAACTGCTCATAGCAGTTAACATTAGACATACTAATGAAATATTTTAATACATAACATTAAAGTACTTGGGAGATAACACTTTTGTGGAATTAAATTGGTGGTTTTGAGTGTAGAAGAGATTATCTGTACGCTGTATGTTTAAAGCTAAGCACGTACTCCTGTCCTTTCCAGAACTGACACCTGTGCAAACAGAGCTATTTCTTGCCCCAGTGGTTTTTGATACGTGGGGATCGTTCCCCTCGGGGTCTGTTTCATAGCATTAAGTGATGCCTCCGTAGCAGGAAGTGGCACCTGAGAAGTAATGGGTACATAGATACCAAAAGGAGTCAATTCTTGAGTTCCTCCACTTTTGCCAACTTTTTATAAGTYAGGAAACAGGAAAATGCTTAGACTGACCAGCTCTGGTAATCAGAGCCGTTTCATTAGTTTCATTTGTGAAAAATGATTTCTTGTAGTGATTTAATTTAGCAATTTATAACAGAACACTTCAGGTCTATTGCCAAAATGATTTCTAGTAATATTTTTGCTATGTGAAAGTATCCCTTTCACATTTCTAATATATTTTCCTACAGTAAATCTGGGATGAAATCCCATGTAAATACTGTGCTAATCCAGTTCCCTTGCGCCACAGCGAGAGGCTGCAACCATGTCTGTGTTAATTTATCAGTGTCATAGATGTTTAATTTTATGAATTGGAATTGCTTTTGACTCGTATCTTGCAATCTGCCACTGATAGTTTTCATCATCAGAGTGTCAAGAGTATTATTTATAACTGGAACTGTGTCTTTCTGCGGGACAGTTACTTGCCAAATGTGATCTTTTTGTAAAAATCCCACCAAAAAAAAAAGAAGTTAAAATGGTTGAAGGAATTTATTACTTTAAGTCATAACTAGGGAGGTTCTGATTGTTGAACTCTCTAAGACCATCAACACTCTTTGTGGAGAAGACACTTTCAGGTTGATATGATAACAATAGAGCACATAAATTTGGGAGTCATAAAGTTTAGATTTCTAAAAAGAGCTACCGATGCTCCTCAACATTTTGAGCACACGTAGCCCACTTCTGTCTTCCTTACGTTGTGGTTTCAAGTTGAAGGCAAAGGGCCTGTAGGTCCACCAACACCTGAGAATGGCCAGTCCCCAAGTCTTCACATGAAAAAGTCCCTAACGTGTGCAAGAAATGAAACCAGAGGGAATCAAAAGAAATAGTCACTTGAAATCCGAATGTTTAAGCCCGAGCATGATAGAGTGAGAGCCCTGGCACGTGGTGGGTTTTATCTCTGTGGTGTGTGAACATTGAGCAGTTCGTTTCTTCCTCTTCAGGCAGTTTACAGCTCGCAGTATTTGCCATGACTGCGTTTGAACTCGGATACTTTCCTGTAKTCGTAAATTCTTTATGAAGCAGCGACTGAATCACTGCAAAAGCATAATTGTGAATTTTGTGCCATTTTACAGTGTAGGTATCTCTACATTTCTTAGATGAAAGGGAGAAACTTTAGCTGTTTGAAAACATTTATTTTTAATGTTTTGTTGGTGCCAAAGCAGATGGAAAGATTCTACACTTTATCTAGAAAGGTTAGGGGAATAAGATTGTTCCTGGGGAATGGATTTTGTCTTATTTGCCATTCTCTTTTATAGTAGAGATAGTAATATTTTAAAATCCTTGTGTATTTTTTATGCAAAAGTTAAAAACTCTATTTGCCTGTCCAACATTCTGGTCTAACCTTGTGTTTTTCAACTCGGCTCGCCTGCAGTGTGCAAGCATCGTTGCTAATTTACGTCATATTTATTGATTTCAAGGCCAGTATATCTTTGCTGACAGTCTTTTGACCTTCCTACTAATTCCACATATGTTTGGCAGTGGATTTTTGCCTGTCCCTGAGGTGGTAATTTAATTTTTACTTTTGCAAATATCATTAAGACCACGATAAGAGGGATTTACTCCGCTAAGACAAGCGGAGGTTGAGAAAAAATAATTGAAAATATCAATATCCCTGGAAGGGAAGGTGGAAGGTTAGCAAATGGGAAAGGAGGGCATCTCTCTGACAAAAACTTTCTTCTGGGGCTCTTCCCGTTT